AACTTATGACACCTCTCTTTACTTCTACAGCTCACGCGTAAACAAACGACATGCCTTGTTAAAACAAGAAAACACGCCAAAAAGAAAACAATCGGACGTAGAGGCAGTATGAATCCCTCTGTTCTCCTCGGTGCTTCGGCGCGGATGATGGGGCGTGTCGCGCGGCTGCGTTTGGCGCACCGCCAACGCCCTTCTTCACTAGCTTTTGAAGCAGTCAAGTGATAACTTCTGGTGGAAAACGACTGGTACGAACGATGTGACGCGGATAACCGAGAAAAAAAACGTTCGCGTCGTGCCAGCGCTTACACGCCCCATCATCCGCAACGAACAAATTATCTGATTTTAGCACCTAATCCTTCACAACTACTAGATAATAGGTTTGGCTCGACTTTGAGAATTTCCTCTTCATTTCGGAGGCCTCAGTCAACCTTTACAGCTCTCGTTCCATTCCATGACGCCTGCAAATCTTCTTGTACACCTCTAGACTCCTCTGTTGGAACATATAGATGTTTCTTGCAGAACTGCTCATGAAGTTGTTGACAAGAATAAATAGAGAATTTTAAGTGTAGATACCAGCCCCTCTGTCTTAAAACCTCGGTACTGTGGATATTTTCTTGCTTATATATTTCTGCCGCCTGTTAGGTGTGAAGATTCATTCAGCCGACGTTCTACCTCTTCATGGTTTTCGAAGGCCTTGCGCTCCATAAAGTGTAGTTCTGTCCTACATTAGTACAGCAGTAAGTATGCGAATCTCTTATTTACACCCCTAGGCCCTGAACAGGCGAATATCTCTAATTGGCAGCCATGTTTTTACTTTATAAGAATGCGTAGGCTCATCGAGAGACGGCGTGGTGACTGCATATATGGGAAATCTGTGCGCTGTGCGCTTTTCTCGACTTCCAGCCTGAATATTTATCGTTCGAGCACGAATATTTAATGAAGAGATATACAAAATCACCAACTATAAGGTGACCAATTCCCTTCCATGAGTACGACTGGGTGTCAGCAGTGCACATTAAAGGCACGTCCCGAGTTCAAAAATGGTGATTTGTGCAACTCAAACACTAGTGCGAGAGAGTACAAAATTTGAAAAGAAGCAGTAGAAAGGCGCTAGAAATAACCCATTTAAACCCTATGCTTAATCGCAGGTTGTACGTGCATAAGGCGAAGAAAGGGCGCGGTTGGACGAGCTGTCGATAATAGTGGACCAACCGCATCCTCAGGCATGTTAATGAAAGTTGGGCGTCGACATGGCCGGTGGTCGGGCGGACCGTGGTTCCCCCGAGCCAGTGGCGCTTTCGTCACGTTTTTGAGCTGCAAAGGTAGTGCATCCCCCACTCTCGTAGGCAGGGTTACCATGTCTAAAAAAGGCCCCCGAGGATGGCCCGTAAAGTAGGGTGCACATTGCAGCTTCTTTTTTTTCTGGACAGTCAAATGTGCAGCCATTGTAGTTAAAGTTTAAATATGGAAATCTTCCATCCATGTACGTTGGAATGTACGTTGGAGATGAGTTCGCTGGAGCGACATGAAAATCAGAGATTAACAGAAAAGCGTTGGTGTAGTGACAAACGACGCCAGTTGCCACAAGCACGGCTAGGAGGCCTAGTCTCGGACATCTGTGGCACTGGCGTCATCGTGCGGTCCAAATCGCCAGGCAAAATGCTGCTACGATTTTGAATAGAAGTGGAATGCG